AAGGGAAAAGCTTGGGAGCTACATCTAAGAACACACACAAGCTCTCTTAACCACAACCAGATGCTAGTTCAAATTCTACTATTATTAAGAGCTGGGAGAGCAACCATTCCTGATGGGTAACTATTGTGAAATCGATTGCGGTAAAAGGCAGTTTATACTACAGGAGCTCAAGACTCAAAATTTAATTCATACTTGTAAAACTTGATCAGTGATCAATAACGTTGCAAGTTACAACATATGTACATTGCATCTGTAGTGGATGCTGCCTTTTTTTCAGATTTATTGCCCTTCTGTTGATGAAGGCTGTGTATTGTTAGCGCACCATCAGGCGATTAATTTGTTGTGATGAGAACTAACCGGAGATGGCATGAACACATCTGATATACTTAAAGGGAAAATAAAATCTAGAGAAAACCCTTTTCCACTGGAAGTACTCGCTCTAACTAGGGACACTTTTCTGGTCACTGCCAATGTCAGTTCCACACAAGTTGATGTTAGTGGCAACCTGATGACCTGGAGGTTGACTATTATTTAGCATTGTGAATTGGCCAGCACAAAGGAAGCTTTACGGGCATGCTCTGATTTACATTGACTGCAGAAACCCTGACTGGTATCCTTTATCCGTATAAAGCGGGTTGAGATTTCTGGATCCCAACTACCTCATTATAACTGGGCTCCACTGTAATTATTTTACAGATATCTGTACTATGGCGTCTCACACATAATCCTTCTCCTGACACTTCACCTTAATAGGAATTCAGTCTCATACGTGTCTTTCTCCAAGAAAAGTCTTCCTGGAAATCCTGAAATGATTGGTTGGGATTTTCTTGTTCAGTTTGGTAGCTAAAGTTAGATAGTCAAGAAAATTTAACATTTGAACCAACAAACTGCTAGCTTGTAGCAAATCCAGAATAGTGATGATTTTTAGTCTCGTTAGCAAAAAATTGTGATTCCCTCGATACTTGACACAAACTTGAAAGAGTCGCCCTTCACATTGTTAAATCTTTCAGAGTTTCAGAGTGTTTCTGTCTTGCTTTCATGCGACTGTCAGGAAGGTGGAAAATGAACTAGATAGACCTTGGTCTTTTTTCATCTAGCATTTCTTATGTTATGTTATGTTTTGGGGATCACTATTTGACTGATATTGAATTCTCTTTCCAGCATAATATAACTTAACATTCAAAAGTTTTTTCAAAGTTTCTATTTTTTCGTTTGGCTGTTCTGTGCTATCCTCAATTGCAAATATATGTAAATGGCTGTCAATTGAAATATGCCTGGTTTCTATAACTCAACCTGTATTCCTAGCTTCGGTTGTCATTTAGTGGTACTGGGATTTAGTGCTATGCACTCTTTATTTAGCAGAGAGAAAAAAATGCTAGTGTAAACATAGGCTACCCGGTTCATGCTGAGTTATGAGTTGACAATTCTTCACTCATATGCCTAGTCAGTAATTACCAAGACTGTTTAGTTATGGGGAAGAGTAACAAAGCCAAACCCAACCCTGTCCTCACCTAAGATCTTTCTATTTATTAGACGTTTACTTCCCGCTTCTCAACTTCTATTTGTTGATGCCAATTTAGCATTCTATTTACACCCTACCTGAAACTGGGTAACTGAGAGCAGAGTGAAATTGAACCTGGTACCTTCATTGTTTCTGTGGCTTAGTAAAATGGCACATGAAGTGTGAGGGACGAGGGGGAGAAGAGAAAGAAACAAGAAGACAGTAATTTGTAACAGGAGAAGCTTGTGCCTAGTATTCTTCTGTACCATTTCTTACAGTGTTAAGGTATATGTGTGTGTGTAATACACACTAGGTGTTTAGTGGAACTTGATTATCTACCAAAATAGAGAGAAATTTGCTGTGGAAAATTGAAATTAGTAGATAATTGAAGTTCCATATATTCTAAGTGCTATTTATTTTTGCACACCATAGTATTTTTAACTAAGAAAATCTATTTACATTTGATTTCCAGAAAACTCCCAACCACCACCCTTCTTCTGTTTATATTACACAGTTTGATGCAATTTTATATCCCTGTAGTACAACATGCTGTAATATTGATCAGCCGCTTTGCTTCAGAGGATCTTGGACTTTCATTGAATACATTGAAGCACTTTAAAGGTTCGCTAAACACGTTCTTGTTTAGAATTCATGGCATATTTTGACCTTTGCAGTGTTATAGGTAGCGATGGCGTGCAGTTTGCTGTGTGGGGTTTGCAAACGGCTGTAGCCTGGGAGATGATCGAATTATCTACCTTGTTGATTATGGTGGAAAATAGAAATCCCATCACACATGAAATATAAAACAAAACATAACAAACGTGATATTTATTCTTAGTTTTCACATTGTGTTATCATTGCTTTTGTTTTGGTGTCAGTGAAATATTCCTGTTGAAACTGTAGTGCGGTTTTCAACAAAGGCTATGGCAATTGACAAGATTCCAAGAATATAATGAGACAAAAGCAATAGTTATTACAGTTTATGATTTAAACCATTCTTCTGGACATGTTCCAGATGGATTAATCTCTCCATTCTATACCAGCGGCAAGTTTGTATCCTTCCACACTCTCTAATCAAGAATGTCATTGGCTTCATAAAAGATTACACAGAGTCTGCATTTCTCATGTTTGATGAATGTACAGCTCCAAATGAGGAGTTCAGTTCAAGTATGGCTACATAGTGATTTATTTAAAAAAAACATTGAAAATCATAATCATGGGTTCGCTGTGCCATTTCACCTTGTCACCTTCACCTTTGTATAGTTTTTACCCACACATCCTCATCCCGCTCCCTATTCTCTCTATTGCGAATAAATCAGGATCTTTGATCCTCTTTTCATATCTCAGTTATGTAAGCTTCAGAAACACCGTTGTTGCGCTTGGAAAAACCATAGGCTCCCAAAGGATTACAAGATCTACACCATTCAAAAATCATTGAAATATTGCAGGACTGGGAGAATGACAGCTATTTTATAAATGACAGAAAGGGTGTGAACATCCATTCTTGTTGGTGTTTTGGTAGCTCCATAACTCAATGTTGAAACTGTGACATTTACTAACTCAGCAGTTTCTACTCACTACTATCTTTATGTAATATGGTCATTAATATATTTATTGTATCCATTATTTAGTTTAGAAATGTAATCCACTACCTCCCATATTTTAACTCTTTTTTTCCCCATTCTCTGCTATTGTTGAAGTGCAGTTTTGGCAGACGATTCTGTATTAACCTTTGAAAGGACTTGCACATCTTTATTGCACTAAAAATGAACTTAAGAAACAGTATTCAAAAGTTCCTTAATAACTCAAGTTTATTCAGTGAGAAGCTGAGCCATATACACAATAAAGATTCCCGTTTTGCCAGAATTGTACCGGGTTCCATTGGTTTCCCGTCTCTGACAGGATCGATTTCAAAATCCTTGCCCTCATATACAAATCCCTTCAATCCCTTGCACCTCCCTACCTCTTTGGCCTACTTACATCCCACTTTTTTGCTCGACCCCTTTGCTCAGCTAGCACAGCTAGCAAGTTGTTGTTGCTGAGTTGACTGATCTCAGCCAGGGATGCACTTGGGGTAGGCAGCTATAATTAGCCTCAACAGCCCAGTTTATAAAGAAGAAATTTGTATAGAATTGCTGCTCATTGTTACTAGCGGTCGCTGGTCAGTCTTCACTATGTGAACACCATCTGAAGGCAGGATCAAGCACAACTATGATGCCCCCCCCACCCCGTGCTCAAGTAGCTTGCTGACACTTGCATTATGGTGATTATGAATGAATATTGGCGTCTAGAGCAAGATAAGGAGAGCAAACAACACTTGTGGAACTGCACTGCACAGGAATTGAGCAACTTCTAGACAGAAGTGAGAACTGGAGGAGAAAATGGGTGTGGAAGAAGACATTATTCAAATAACTAATTTAACTACAATCAGAAAACAAAAGGGATTAGAAATGCAGTTTTTATAATTCCCTTCAAAAGATTATATACAAAGTGGCTCTGAATTTTGGGTTTGGTTCATTTGGAAACAATATTTTTGTCCATAATCTTTTTATTTTTTAATCCATTCTGCTTTTCCAACATTAGGGCTGCAATGCATTATACAGGAGTAAAATACACTTTAATTTGCTTACCTAATTCAGGAAAGTATTAGGTGCAGGTTGGCAACAGCCAAGGCTTGGGTACCCCAGTATGTGCATTGGGCTACTGCTGGGGTATGTTTATATCATGAGTGAGAGCTTAGTAAGTATTTTTTGAATGTTTTTGAAGTTATTTAGGATGATATTCTTCATAAAACACGTAGTGAAAATAAGTGCTTCTACACTTTTAATATGTTGTTTCCCCTGACTCTATTAAGTGCAACAGGCAGTTTGCCTGCAGTCATGTGAATTTCCTTCAGTAACCAGACCCAGACTGTTATTTCCAAATCCAAGGCTTCTAACAGCCTGATCGCTAAAACAGCAACACTTGCTGGAAATGTTCATGTTACGTGAGGGGAGAGTGAGGCTTGCCTGTGTGAATGTCCACAGCAATAAAATAGCCCACTATTACTCAATAACAAGGTTCACACATGAATAACAATCACAGCATCCAAAGCTCAATAAGCAGTCATTGCCATTACGAGGTCGAGGAAAGGGAGACAATTTAAGGAGAATTTATTAAAAAAAATAGAATTGCCTTAAACTCAGTTTAAAGGTGCACTTTATGAAAGGGGTAATATGCACTTTTAACTAAGTAGCAATTTTTTCATCACACTGTCACGTTCGCGTGATAAGTGCTTGAGGGATATTTACTACAGCTCGCGGGTACATAGTAAGTTCACTTGTACATTCACTAATATTAGTGAACGTTGTGCTTTGATTTCAGTTTAGAATTGTAAATGCACGTCTTAAAATTTTCTAATGGATTAATTTGTAGGTTTCACCATCATTAGACTTGCAATGTTAATTTAGATGGCCAAAAATGTAATTATTTTTACTTTCCTTCCCACCACCCACCACAGATTAACCTGCAACGCACAATGAGAATCACAGGACTGATAACTCAGGGTGCAAAGAGACTTGGGAGTCCAGAGTATGTGAAATCTTACAAGATTGCTTACAGTAAAGATGGCAAGAGCTGGATGACTCACAAAATAAAAGGCACCCATGATGACAAGGTAAGCTGAAATAATTTAAGGTGCTTTTTCAATAATGCGATTAGCTCTTTGGCCTATTTGATCTTGTCCTTCTGGAACACCCAGCCTACCGTGCGCCCATTACAGCATCAAGCTAATTTTAAATCAGTCCAATGTCCTTTTCTGGTGAAGTGTTCCAGTCTCTTGAGTCAATAAATAAGACTCCAGATAAAGAAATACATGATGGATTTATGTAGATGGCTCCAAGACAAGTGCTCTGGGATGTTACTCTGGGTTAAAGGCCCAATATAAATGCAAGTTATTGTTGTATCACTTTTGTATACATTTGCAACATTTTAAGTTGGCATTTATTGGAATGAAACACAAACCTGTGATCCACCTTTAAGTTCATTTGAATAATTTGGCTGGTTTATTGAGAGGAGTTAAGTTACTTCCAATGGCTTGTGTTTCCATTGCCCCATTGCAACTTTTACAATTTTGTTTCCTTTTTATTTTACATTAAAGTTGTGCAGAATATAAACAACCTCAGGCCTCAGGTATTTACTCTGCACATTTTAATGGCCATGAAAGTGTGTAGATTGGTTAATGGTACCTGAGTTTTTATATCTGATGTGACCTAACATAATGTATGATTTTCTGCTGCCTGTCTGTGCTGGGAGGTAATGTGCTTGGCTAGCTCTCAAAGTCTTGACAAATGGTTTACGAAGCCTTGTGGATGATCAGTAAACCATATATTTTGAACATCTCAATGCACTTTTACTCAGTCCTTATAACAACCTTAAAGAACAGCTCTTGCCATCAGTAACTAGTTTCACATGATATATTTTAATTTTAATATAATATAATTTTGCATAGAGTATTTTTTAGCTTTGTTTCCTGCTGAGTTGCTGTGGTGATGATATTGTTTCCTTTGGAGGAAGTATTGAGACTTGACAGTGTGAAGGAGCTAAGGTATTGCAAACAATCAGACATGAAGCAGCACTGGGTGAATAATTAACATTTCTGCCAACATACAGGCAGGCTCCGTAACTCTTCCGAGCCAGTTTCCTGCGATGTCTTCAGCACTTGCTAGACGTAAGCTTCTCAAGTTGAAGAAGATTGGTGCTGAGCAATGAAATATTCATCCATTTCAGACACCTAAAGAAATAAAACAGATGAATCTTGGATTGTTAAGGGTATTGATGGTTGTAGGTAAAATGTATACATACAAGTCAACCATCTTCCCCAGATCTGAAGCACTCTGGTTAAAAAAATGTTTGCTTTCTGATACTTTTTCATTTGAGTTAGATTTATTTTGATTTCTGTCAATATTTTCTGTACACATTTTGTAGATTTGCTCTTCTGTTTTATTTTTCAAATTTGCAATTAAAAGTTTTCTCAAATTCTCCATTAGCCCTGTTTAGGCTTGTGAAGTATTCTGGACAAATTTTGCTTATGTGTACTGTTTGAAATAGATTGCTGTCCTATTTCATTAAGCTTCTTCTCCAGTGCAGTGCTGAGTGCTTTGCATTGTGAGAGGTGCTATCTTTCAGATGAAATGTTAAACTGAGATCTTATCTGCCTACCCAAGTGGGTGTTAAAGACCCGTGGCTCTATTCAAACTAAGAGAGGAGTTCCTTTCAGTGCCCTGGCAGCAATCTCCCGAATAAGATTGTTCATTCACTTCATGCCTATTTATGCGACATCACTATGTGCAAATTGGCTGCCACGTTCGCCCACAAAATACTATATTTTACAGTAATCCTGTGATGCGCTTTGTAATGTCTTCCAACTTAAAAGGTGCTACATCAAGAACAAGATTATTATCGTTGTTATTATTGATTTTGGGAAGAATCTTCAGAAATCGGTTGCATTTTCTTACTGAAATGTTCATGTTACAGATTTTCCGTGGAAATGTTGATAACAATACCCCACATGCAAACTCCTTCAATCCTCCAATGGAAGCCCAGTACATCCGTCTGTACCCCCAGGTGTGCAGGAGACACTGTACCTTGAGAATGGAACTGCTTGGCTGTGAGATGTCAGGTACCATCAAATCTCAGCATTTTCTTGGTGCACGTCTGTCTTTAAAGTGATCAGCTATAAAAAGTTCTTTGTGCAATATGGTAGCGTAATGATCAAATGTTTAGCAAACTGAGTTTCCATGCACAGGTCTGTTCCACCTCATATAATTCCTATCAAAATTCCAGCAGTATCTGTGTTAATTAATCACATTGTTGCCAAGGAATTTGGTTACTGCTTGTTACCTTGTTTTTTACTCTGGAATAGTCAGCTTGTGTTAGCTTGGCAGTGGCCAAGGTGTAGTCCTCCTGCAACATCATAAAGCTTGACCACAATAAACTGTCTCAGTAGTGCATCGGTGCTGTTTGGGCATTTCCATTCATACAAATGGTCACCTAAAGATCTACGTGAGGATTTCCATGGGATGAAGGTTAAATCTATTGGTCTAATGGCCTGGGACTATACAGAGGAAAATAAATCCACTATTATTACTGCATAATGACGGAATGTCTTTAACAGGTAGAAGAAACCTTCAAGGCTTACAACACATTTTTTAGGGAAAAAAGCCTGAATCGGGGAGAAGCAATGTTAAAAGAGATTATGTTTGGGCAACAGGGGATTTCTATAAAGTTATTGTCCAGGGAGAGGCCTAGTGAGGTGTAAGACTAATTGGTGTGAGTAGACTTACGTCCAAAAGGAGTGACCAGATAGACAGTTTCCTTGTTATTGGTGCTCCACACAATTGACTGTTTTTGTAGTTAAATAAAAACCCATATTCATAGAATCATAGAATATTAGAGCACAGAAGGCGGACATGCTACTTCAAGGGGTTAGTCTTGAGAGCCTCTCTAGAAGTTGGCAAAGCATTTTGTGGTTCCAAAGGGAGTCTTATTTTGAGACATCAATTGAGCAGACTTGCTCTCAGTGAGAACTTGAGAAATGGATGGGTTTTGGTGGCGTCTGAATACACTGGAGAATAGACCTTTCAGTTTTTTTCTCCAGTCGCTGAATCTTCTGTAGAAGTAAGTCAGGCTGCCTCTAACATTTCAGCAGTTGACACGGGCTCTGAGTATTATAAATGTCACTTTTTATGGATGATTTGATGCTCTGCATCATTGATTTCAGTGCAGAAACATTATGTTTGCTTGGATGCGTAGTGACATATGGAAAACTTCCAGTTATAAAATAAATCAGGATTAGTTCATGCCACTTGCACCTTCTTCCTGCAGGGGGGTAGCTACTAGTTGTGTAAGTTTGGATCAAGCCTTAAAGAGGATGTTTAGTTGACTGAATTACCTCTATAATCCCAAATGTTATAAATCAAACTGGCTCCACTTCTAAACGTCTCTCATGCCTCATTTATACTGCAGCAGTGTAGTGATTCACAGCGGGAAATACGATTTATATTTCATGCTTCAAGTAACTCTCGTGGGACTGAGGAGAGCTCTGTGCATATGTAGAGCTCCATTCATGGATGTCAAATACAAGTTCGTTTTTTTAATGATATTAAGGATCTGGTCATGAGTCAGCTTAATGGCAGTCAATTCAATGACTTCCCATTACCCACCCCGTCCCACTTGACCAGCACATATAGTTTATTAAGTTTGAAAGTTCATTACAAATCTGATTTATAGTGATTTGTATTGCAGCCAATTTCATCCATTCCATTCGAAAGCCTCAATTCCATTTGTGCAGCACAAATGGGATATTGCTCACTCCTTGTTGCCTTGTTTTTTATGGAACAGTCAGCTAGGAGCAGATTATTTGTGTTGTATTCCTCCTGCTGTAACATCATAAAGCTTGACTTCAGGAAAATTATGAAAGAGGAACACTGTCCACTATATTGGATGCAATATTCCTCACCAATGGGACATTGGGTCATCCAGCTTCCAGGCTATAAATCACCTTCCATTATTTCAGTATGAAAATAGTTGCCTCTATGTCTTGGTTGATCCCGTTTACAGGCGGCCACATTTGCTGCATATAATACTTCCTCTGACACCTAAACACAATATGGTCCTGAATTTATGGAAAGCATTTAGTTGCAGCAGATGAGGTGGGAAGGTAGAAAATAATTCTTCAACACCTCATTCATAACAAAACTCAGGTGATGATTGTGTTTTTTAAAATAAAAGAAAGCCAATTCTATTTGAGTGTGTCGCAGAATGTTTGTACCACTTGGTTATTTGTAAGCAGTTTTCTTGCCTTTGCTTTGCTCTATTTTAAGCAATCTATTCTATTCTTTTAGGCTGTTCAGAGCCTCTGGGGATAAAATCAGGACATATCCAGGATTATCAGATTACTGCTTCCAGTATCTTTAGGACCCTAAATTTGGACATGTTTACATGGGAACCCAGCAAAGCTCGACTGGATAAACAAGGAAAGATTAATGCCTGGACGTCAGGGCGCAGCGATCAATCACAGTGGCTACAGGTACAGTTTATCATTCGAAAGTCTATCAAGCCTCCATTACATAGTTTGATGCTTATTGTTCCTCTACAACTAGGAATGCATTCATCCAGCGCCTTGGGATTTCCTCCCAATGTGAAAGGCGCTATACAAATGTAATTTGTTGTTGTTGTTTACTGCTTCCACTGAACAATTCCAAAGTCTAAGGATAATTTATAACGCTCCTTGCATTTGATACATTCCTTTCACGTCAGTAGGTCATCTCAAAGCTCTTTACAGGATTTACTGTCAAGTATGCTTTGCAGATGAACGCGTCAGCCAACTTGGACACATCAGTGTCCCACAAACAGCCATGAAGTGAATGACCACTTTTATCAGGGGGATTAATGAGCAGGACACCAGCAAACTCCCTTCTCTTTTCAAATAGCTTTATGGGATTTTTAAAGTCTCATCTCATTCGTAGGATATTTAGCTTGAATGTACTCATGAATCACTCGTCCCCTCTTACAAAGCAAAATCAAGACAAGTTCTAAGAAAAAAGGTTTCAAGATCAAGCAGTCAGGCTTACATTTTCTGTTTTACTATAACTTCCCATCTTTCGTTTAAATGGGTATTATAGCCTCAAGAATGGCCCAAATGGTCCCTTAACTGATTCCTGCTTTGTTCTTCAAATTTAGAATGAACAGTAATGATTCCCTCTTTAGTTTGTCTTGTACCAATCCCGTTCATCATTTCAAGAGAATATTGCAGCAGTTTCCTATACTGCATTGGTATTAGAAACCTAAAGGATGATTGAGGGTGGGAATAAATTGCAGGAGCTTGGGTGAATGTCCTGCAACTATCACAGTTTTTTATTTGGTGAAATCCCACAAATCTTAGCAAGCTCAAAGCAAGGCCCCCACTTGAATAAATTACTGTAGAAAAACCCGAGGACAGAGAGAAAAAAAATTAAGGACATCATTTTCAATGACCCTGAGCATGACAAAGCACCAATTGAACCTTTTTTGTACTTTAAGTAAAATTTATGTACAAAAAATTTAAATAATAATGTTACAGTTTCCTGTTTAGTTCTTCCCCACGTTTCACAAGAACTGTAGTAATTGCTTCCAGGAATTTGTAAGACAGTCATTTTTATTGCAAGACATTATAGAAAACAATATTTTACAGGCTGACTATTCTGTATTGCTGGAAAGTTATTTAGCATTCAGAGCGCTGAGGATTTATAATAAGATCTGTCCCGTCAGTTATTACCCTAGGAAAATGTATAATGGATATGGACAGCCCTACAGCTAGCTCATAGAAGAGTGTTTGTGGCACACATACAAATCTGTCGTATGGTGGCCTAGATTTCTATTTTTATTTATTTGCAGCATAATTATTGTGGTAGAGTGCTCAGTTAAAGTTGTTTTTCCCCCACAACTTGATGTAAAATCAATGTTGTATTAATACTAAATTTGAACATGGAATAATTCTGCCACTTTTTTTTTGCACAACACAGCCTAGGATTTGTTTAATTTATCCACCATCATGTCTGATGGTATAAAGTATGTTCAAAAACTTTTCCCCAATTTTCTTTTGATAAAGTAGGCCTTAGATAATAATAGTAATAATCCTTGCATTTGATATAACATATTATCACATCACTGAAACATCTTAAAGCAAAAATGTATTATAAAGTGTGATTACTGTGTATTATAGGTAAACACAACAGCAAACTTTGCTTACAGCAATGACCTACAAACAGCTGTGAAGTCAATGACCAATTTTATTGATTCAAGAGGTAAACAAGGCCATAAATGCTTTCATTCATAAAAAAATATTGGCATCAAGGCCACTATTTGTATATTCCCAAATTAATGGTGGCAAACTCAAAGTGTAAGTGTATCAGAATTTTCACAGTGGCAAGTACATGAATGCTAACTTTGTCCCAATTATCGAAAATACTCAATGAGGAGCCATCTTATTAGCATCTTATTATTTCACACCACAGGTTTTTTTATGGTCAGCTGTGGGTGGGTTTTTCATCATCATTATGCATCATAAGTATAAATTATGAATATTCATACCAGATTGACAGTTCCACATATGCATGCTACCTACACATGGAAATTTACCTGTCTAAAAAGGAATGTGTACCCTCTTCCTGGAGGGAAGCATCCTACTTACCTAATTCCAAAAAGTATCACTTGCCGGAAGGTGACAGCCTACACTTGGGGTCCCTGGGGTGTGCATCTTGATAGCCTTGGAGTTTAACCAGCTAAACTGTATAGCATTCTGAGCACTGTCTCGGACTCAGGGGAGGCCATGCTTATTTCCCCCCCACCCCACTCCAAGGAAGATACTAAAAGTTGTGTAAAAAATACTTAAGTAATCAAAAAAATTCCAAGTTTGGATTACCTTTGCAATATCTTTCAACCCAAAAGAGAGGAAATTGGTGGGTTTGAGCAAATAATGTGTCTACTACTATTAAAATAACAGTATTGGAAACTGTGATCTGATAAACCACATAATCTTTTGTCACTCCTTTTTTTAATGTTCTTAAAATTGATGATCTTTTTTTTTGCACTCCCCTCACCTAATTTCTCATGCTTTTTTTTTCCTCACGAAAGTTGGCAACTCATTGTTCCATAAGTTGATACCTTATTCACGTGACAGTCTCCCTGTGTGAACTTGATCGCCCACAAAAATAAACAGCCATTCACTTTACAGTATATTCTATGAAGCGCTTTGAGAAGTCTCGAAGACATGATAAGGTCCTATATCAAATGCAAGGATTGTTATTATTGATAATTTTAAACACACAGTTATTCCTCCTTTTATTTAGCAAACTTGCTATCTGAATGATGGATTCTGCATAAGGCAGACTTTAAGACAAAAAATCTGCGGTTATAAATGCCTGAAAATGACGCTCTGTGCTGAACTTTGAAATGGAATATTTTACAATGGGAGATTAATAATAATCCTTGCATCTGATATAGCGCTTTTCACGTCTTCTAGACATCTCAAAGCGCTTCACAGAATATACTGTAAAGTGAATTGACTCATAATAATGAACAACTCAATATGAGTAAATTCTCAGACTTTGCATGAAATTTGTTTCCAGTATTATTCCCTGCTGTGAAAGCACTGGCAATTTCAGGAGTGGATAGTGTCATTAGTGAGCAAGGCAGAAATTTCATACATGCATATTATGATGAAGTACAATTTATTGTTCAGACATGGAAATGTAATGTGTTTTATAAAATGACAGACACTTGATCACATACACTTGCTGAATTAGATTGCTGACAGTCTTTCAGTCCCTTCTATTCCAGTTATTAATGATAGAATTGACAACATTGGTGTTAGATAACAGTTGGATATCAGCAAATAAATATGCACAGATCCCTTAAAAGAGTGACATGTTACCTGTCGATAAGTATTTGCCCAGGTATATGATACTGAATTTAGATGGCAGGAGTCTCTACATTTCACCAAAATGCTGGTTTCAGGTTTGCTTCTGTCAGGCACGTGAGTGAGGGTTCGACACTTTAAATTCTATATGTGTAGGTATTGTGTGCATGGAGCTCACACAGAAAGAGGGTTCAGAGTAAAATAAAGGTAACAGGCTGAGAGGCTGATTGTCAGGTCATCTCACTCTCAGGTCATTCTCTGGCCTCTGCTTCCTTTATTCTGCATTAGGCCCATTTATGTGTGGTCTCCAGAACCAAATGGGCATGTGCACAACACTTAATGATAATACTTGCATTCAATATAGCATCTTTTTACGTCATTGAGATGCCTCAAAGCACTTCACAGGAATGACCTCACAGCTCATTTGACCCTGTTGCATGGGAAAAGTGCTGATGGCAATGCTCGGCAGGTGATATTAGTCATTCAGACCCTGAATCATTCTTTGTGTGTTGTGTATAAGCGCTATGATGTTCAGTAGTTGCTTGTAGCTGTGTAAACAAAGATTGCATTGTTGCATTGATTACATTTCTGAACGGACAGTGACAACAAGGCAGTTGAAATTTTCTGCTCTTCCATCATTATTTCTACTGATATAGTTTGCTTTCAGCCATTAGTTAGAATGGGACACGTTAGGCTTAGAACAAGTTTGGCATTGTAATGGTAGGACACTATGTATTCTGGAACAAATTAAATCATCTTTATCCATCTTATGATCTTGTGACTATCTTCTGTTTCACAAGATTAGTTTGGATGAAGAAGGCCCTTAGACCCATCTGATGCCTTTCCTCCAGAGTACCCACTCTGTTGTCCTCCCATCACAGCATCAAGCTGTTTTTTTTCAAATAAGTCCAATCTCCTGGCCTCTATCACCCTTTCTGGCACAACCCTTTCCAGTTATTAATTATATTCTTGAGGAACTTTTAGGAAATGGCTGCAGTTTAATTCAGAGTTCTGAGCCATCGAGATAGTGCTTAGTGTTCAGACAGTTTTGTTTTAGAATTTAAGATTGTGAATAATTTTGGTCAATTCTTAAATCCTGTCTCAATTTGGAAGCTGCTTTTATGTTTTCGTTTTGAGTATGGTGGAAAGCCAGCTTCCAAATTAAAACTAAGTGTAAACCTTTTCCAAAATAATGCACAATCTTAAATTTTAAGATGATGTTTTTGAGTTTAAGAATGTGGGTCTCATGTCTTAATTACCAGCGAGAAAATTACTAAATGACATTCTCTGTAATCTCCATGCATTGAAATCGTGGATCCTGTGCAGGAGAGGTGCAACACGTTTACACTAAATATAGAACATAGAATTCTGAAAAATAAAAATGTTGTCTTAGTGTGAGCAGACCTTTAGAAAATCCATTGCCTAATAGTGCAGTGTTTTAATGTTGTATGTATTAGTTATATAAATTAAGGTCCCAAACACCTTTGGAAAATGCATTTCCAAATGTCATTATAATAAAGTAATAGAGTCTACGGTTTGTTACATGAATTGTAGGAAAAGTAGCTTGTCTAAGCAGCACTGCATGGGATCACAAGCAAAATCCTTTAAATTATGTTAATACTTGTACAAGC